GATCTCCGTGGATTCTTGACCTGAACAACCAATTTCATAACTAAACTTGCAGGGCAAAGTCGAATTTTCATTTTCTCTGTAAGGGAACCAGAGCACATTACCGAATCCTTTGAAAAACAGCTTGAAGAAATGACCAATGTCTATGTCAATGCTGATAGATAATGCTGCTTCCCCATAAGTCTGACAAGCCTTAACCTTTGTTGTGTTGCCTTCAGCATAGTTAACTGAAGGAAAACTTAGATTGAATAGGCTCACAGAGGTTATCTGATGCATGTATAGCTGGAGCCACATCTGAATTAGCCACCAGGGACCATTCACACAAGAGATTTCTCCACCTTGGCGCATCTGAAGAGTAATCTGATGCATCATATGATAAACAGACCCTAAAAGATATTTGCCTAGTGGGATCTGAGTGCCTGCAGCTAAATCTTCAGCCATCACCATATTTTCCACAGAAGATGAATCTGCATAGCCACATGTTCATGAAGGCTTTCAACTCTTTGTCAGAAATGATGCCAGATGCATTCATGTAGTTCTGGATGTATTTGACCCATCCACATCCAGACCTGATGGCTCTTTGATTACTTTTGCTCTTGTACTTATGAGGGTATACTGGTAGTGACACGTTCAAGCCAGTCATCATGAACACGTCGGCTAGAGTGATGGTCATCATACCATGGCCGAAGATGAAGGCATTAATGGTGTCAGACCAAAAATGGGAAGCTGCTATCAAAAGGGAATCGTTTCTGGGTGTTTCTGCTAAGGATAATTCCAGACAATGACTGATGTCTTGACTTTCCCAATGGTCTGCTTTTTTCTCCAAAGATTCTCCTGTGCACCAATTCCGCCATCCAGCGATTGGGGGAAATGGCCAATTCTTGAACGTGTTTGGCCATCGGTTTGGCAAGGTGATCCCAGATTTGAAAGAGATTCTTTGGGTTTCCTTCTCGATAATTTCAAAAGGGTCAGGATTTCCCATTGGGCCGAGGAAATAGGAATCGGGGTTGGCGACATAAGGGATCAAAATCGATTCTTGTATTCTGTAAAGGGTGATTGAAATCAAAGAGGAATGAGCCAAAAGAAGAACGGAAAGATCAAGTGGAAATTGCCGAATATAAGTGAAGTTTACCTCTGGAATTTCATCCTGGGTCGCCATTGAAGATTCGAAGTGGGTCCGAGGTTGCACTGAAAGCTTGAATTTTTGGACAGCGGCTGCGGTGTTGAACGGTGCTGACCTAGGAGGGAGAAGGAGCTTGGTCAATTTCGAATAAAACAACTTTTATCCCGAAATTGAGGGGGCATGTGTTAACACTGGATTTTGGTCGACTTCGGAAGATGACAGGTGGACCCGCATACAGGAAGAAGGACATTCGGCAAACAAAATGAGCGGTCGGCTAAATACTTGTGCGGTTGGTTACTTCAGAAGGTGGTGACTCCATTTGGGAAAGCAAAAGATGGCAAGCAAAGCCGATCGAAAAGATGAAAGTTGTAATAATAAAGGACTCTGAGAGTTTAGGGCAAGGAATCGTAGTTTCCAAGTTTGTTTAAGAGTTCCTTTGTAAATCGTAGTCTTTTAGGACTCGTGTTTTGTCTAGGGTATAAATATTGACCCTCGACCATTGTAATAGAGGTTCACAACCAAATCAATACAACCGGCCCCGTGCCAACCTTCGAGTCCTTTTGTCGTGTCATCGAGTTCTTCGAGAGGAGTCATCGATCCGTCGACCTCTGTAAGTTCCGACAACCTTGTTATCATGTTTAGTATCATGCGGTGGATTTAGATGTGATGCAAGTAGTCTTGTTTGTTTTCAATGATCGTGCGGCGGATCTTTGTTTGACAAGCAAGAAGTCTTTGCTTATGCTTTGTTTATGAGTAGATACCGTGCGGCAGACGTTTGCTCAATATGCTTAGTGAAGGCAAGACAGTTATCGGCTCTATTAGATACGGCAAAATCTAAATAGATTCATTAAGTTATCCTGTGTTGCATGTTTTAAATATTTTATATATTTGTAACACACTTCTGCCCAATCTAGATTGATATTGTTCGGCCCTCTCTTATGGTTTTATTCGTGCTTCAATGATCATTACTTTCGTATTACCTTTGCAAATAGATAACATGCTCGTAATGGCTGAATTATTTTAATCTAGATTGTCACATGTCGTGGGTTCATGCATGTTAATTACGTTTAAGCTTTGATGAAACTAGGTGTCGTGCGGCAGATGCAGGTTTTAGATTAGTTTAATCGTGTTTATTTACACGTTTCTTCTTCATGGACCCCAACTCGGCTGGATTGCTGAGCTTGGTTATGCATTAACTCATGATTAATTTCACTTGTTCAAACATGTCTTCCCATGCACATGCATTCGGCAATCGGATCTTTACGTATGCTCATCTTACGATTAGCCGAATGGTTTATAAACTTGCTGGCAGATAGCTTTCTATAGCTGTATGTCGTTGTAAGTGGCTTCAGGGCCGTATATATGGAACTGTCTGGTCTCACCCGACATGTTCCGGTTTGGCATTTAACTGTTTTATCCCTTGTTAGTTTTTTCAGGTCAAACTGACTGGCACGTTTCCGGATCACGAAGCACCCGGGCACCCAATTGAAGCTACGCTTTCCGGCTTGCTGTGTGTGGGGCACAGTGCGTCACATTTTGTGTCAACAATTTCATGATCCTCATCTACTCTCTAGAAAAATCTAACACGTTGGTACAAATTTTATTAGAGATTTAAACTCATACTTTGACTGAAATTCATCAAATAAATAAAAAAGTGCTTCTGAAAAAATAAATCTTAAAACTCAAAAGCTACTTTGCATTTGGCCTAGCAGCGAAAACGGCCTGCAGCCCAGCCGCACGCGCCGCTCTCCCCCGCGCCCAAGCTGCAACCTAGGCTTGGGCCAGGAATTCCCGAACCCGCCTGGGCCAAAAAGCTGCCCGGACGCTCTTAGCCGTCCATCTCATCCGACGGCTGTCCGTCGATCTCGGCGGTACAAAAATAGCCCCCCCGGTCGGCCGCCTCAAACCCTAATTCATTTGTTTCTTTCTCTCCTCCCCTTTCTTTCCACGCGCAGCAGCACCCCGCTAGGGCTGGGAGCCGACGCCGGCGACCAGCGAGCACGTGAAGGGGGGAGATGGTGGCATCACTGTGGCACCCCTCGCCGACACATGCGCGCAGCCGAAGCTGCACGTGGCACAGTTGAGCAGCACCGTCGTGGCGCCCTTTACAGGATGCACGCATGCACGCGAGGAGCCTCACGGCGACGGTGGCGCTACCTGATGCGGCGCCGACGACCTCGCGTGTGGTGGCAGGATCTTCTTCCCGCACGACGGCGGTGGCGACAACGGCGAGAGAACCGGGTAGGTCCCTCCCCTCTTCATCCTTTCTTCTAGGGTTAGGGTTAGGGTTTGATCCGAATCGAATCGAATCATCTCCTTCTAAAGTTCTTCCCCGAACTGGATCTACACGCTAGTGTAGGCTCCGATACCAATGTTAGCAAATTGGATCATCCAGGTGTAGATCAGTGGGTGGTTACTCTTCTATTCGAATATAAAACAAGTAGATCGACCTAGAACGTGTACGAGAGAGAGAGAGAGAGGTAGAAATGGCTGACCATCGGGTTTAGTGGAGGAGCTAGCCATGGCAGTGAAGAGGACGTTGTCGAGTCGGCGGTCGATGGAGAGGGGTGACGCAGACCAGTGGCGGCGGCGTCCCGGCGGCTGCGAAGGCGGCAGAGCTTCTTGTCGCTCACAGCGCACCCTCTAGATCGGATTAGGGTTTGTGGCGGCGTTGGTGAACCTCGTACCATGAGCCCCAGCCTCTATCTTCTCTTTATAGTGCTGTGCGACGGGGCCCCACCAACTATGATTTAGTTAGCCGCCCCCAATCAGGACGCGAGTCAGGATCCGACTCGGTTGTTGGACCGGTGGAAATCAATCTAACACTGTCATCACCGATTGCATTATTGTACTAGTACGTCCAGATGGAGCAACATCCTCAACTGGACGCTCCAAGACAATGACAAAGATGTGTAGCGGCGTCCGAACGCAGCCGGCGATGGCCGTCGTCTTCCACACGGACTGATTTTCCAATACAAAGACGACGTACGTACGTGACGCTCGCTCCATCGTTTTTCAAGATAAAAAACGCCTAAAAAATAGAGATTGTTTGTTTGCCCTAGACGACCCCCTGTTGTTAAACCTGTAAATCTGACTTTTGCCTTCCTTAGCTTTCGAGTAACAATCTTTAATTTGCTCATATGTGCATCTACTTAGCTCAAAGTACAGGTGTAAGACATCGTTTTCAAACGCTCCTTGAGGACATAATTAGCTTGTATATATATACTGAGTCACATGCCACATTTTAGTCAAATTATTTCGATGGATCTATATCTGTTTTGACATGAAACTTTCGCAAGAAACGGTTCAAACTTTCCTCGGATTCAGGAAGATTTGGTCGTTCCTAAGGGGCCTTAGTTTGCTTTGCCATGATCCCTGATCTTATATGTTGTTCCAAAGAACATGGGCGCATTTCCTAACACACAAACATATCTTAGTTTACACTTGTCCCCTTGATAGCTATGTTTTCATGGGAAGGCATTTTACATGGTGGAATCTGCAAGGTCTTGACACTTGGAAACAGAGGACATGAAGCCCCCCTCCAAGAAATGAATCATGGAAAGTGACAAACTCCAGTGGAAAACAGTGACTTCACCTACTGCAGGACGGCAACCCTGCCAGACTAATCTAGCTAGCAGCTAAACTAGTTATACCAAAATAAACAGCTCTTTGTGGACTGCAAGACACATACAATTATTGTAACTACTAGATAGCTGTATGTATGTATATATACGAATGTGACACACTTGAACATATACATGTCTCATCGATAAGTATACAAGACACCTTTATGGGCATCCTATTCCATGTTATAATGCTACAATTTTCAAGTTCGAGCTAGAGTCTAAGCAAGTTACATACATACCGCTGGACAGTGGATATGGAGAAGGGGCAGGAGATAGCAGCATCAGATGGTGAAAGGGGTCCAGAGCAGCATCAGCACGCCATTGACGTTGGCCATGCCGAGCATGGTGATGGCAAGGGAGAGGACATCGAGAAGGAGAGAGTGGCTGTGGCTGAGGACGTGCAGAAGAAGAAGAGCAGAAGAGTGGCAGCTCTTGATGCCTTCAGAGGGCTAACCATTGTGGTACATACATACACCCATCGGCCCATATCTACTTTTTGCTTCTTTATTTAATCCAAAAAGTTTGATTTTTGTTTTGTGGCACAGTGTTAATTTCTAATTGACACAAACTCCTTCATGGCCTTATTAGAAATGATTTAAGAAAGTTCCATCGTTTTATGGGAGAGGAAATGAGGACAAGGAGTTTGGGAGTAGTAACTATCTTCGTTTGTTTTTCCTAGGATCTGTGATGTATTCAGAGCCCTCGTTTTATGAATCCAGAATTATTTAAATGCCATCATATAAACTGTTGAATTTCCTTGCTTGCAGCTTATGATACTGGTGGACGATGCCGGTGGGGCTTATGAGCGGATTGACCACTCACCATGGAACGGCTGCACCCTGGCAGACTTCGTCATGCCCTTCTTCCTCTTCATAGTTGGTGTTGCAATCGCCTTCGCACTGAAGGTGAGCAAGCACATACACTCTTCAACTGATACTTCCATAATGTAGAGGTTCTTGCACTGCGCCGGTCGATTATTTGTCACAGTAGATGGTGTACATTGCCAGAGCAAAATAGCAAGCGTCCATGCTCTGTACCTCTTGCTGTTTCGCAAGTGAATGTTTCATGCTAACAGAGACCTGAACATCACATGGACATGATTGCAGAGAGTTCCAAACATCGGTGCCGCCGTGAAGAAGATTACCATCAGAACACTGAAAATGCTCTTCTGGGGTGTGCTTCTCCAAGGTAATTCTTCCATTACTATGATTCTGTCACTAGTATTGGAATTGATGATATATTGATATGTATTGGATTTGATGATATGTTGATATGTATAAAGGTGGATATTCTCATGCTCCGGATGACCTCTCTTATGGAGTGGACATGAAGAAGATCAGATGGATGGGCATCCTACAGGTTTGGTTCAGTCACCAATAATTTTCTTTTGCCACCTACAGATTTACATATATCATGGCAATAACTTGGATTCTTTTCTTTTCTTCACATTGGATCATCAGAGAATAGCTTTGGTATACTTCATTGTTGCTCTGATAGAGGCATTCACCGTAAAGGTACGGCCTACCACGGTGCGGTCCGGTCCTTACGCCATTTTCAATGCGTATCGATGGCAATGGTACACGATTCTTATTCTTCCTGATAGTTCAATAACACTGTGACTGCACATATCTTTCCATTTTGCTTTTTCTTGATTCTGGAAATGAGTAACATCCCTGACGCTTTCTGGAAATAACAGGTTAGGTGGTTTCATTGCATTTGTGATATACATGGTTACAACATTCTCACTATATGTCCCAGATTGGAGCTTTGTTTACCACAATGATGGCGATGTCAATGACGGGAAACAATTTACGGTATCCGCAACTTTCCTGGGCATACCATGCCATCATCCACTGAAATGTGTCGTATTTGATACAGTTTTTGCTTGTTCGTGCAGGTAAAATGTGGTCTGAGGGCCAGCCTGGAGCAAGCCTGCAACGCTGTTGGCTATGTTGATAGGCAGGTCTGGGGGATTAATCATCTCTACACACAGCCAGTTTGGATCCGGTCAAAGGTACAACAGAATTCTTACTACTTGCCATTGTCATTGCATTGATCCTTCTTTTTCCTGTGACACTGAATATTTTGTTCTATTGGATATCTGAAATTACTTTGATCAGGATTGTACATCAAGCTCACCTAACATGGGTCCCTTGACGATCTGATGCACCAGCGTGGTGCCTTGCGCCTTTTGAACCGGAAGGCTTGTTAAGGTGAAAATCTGACATATGCCAACCTTAACAGAAGCTGAATAATTGCAGCCAACCGTTCAAGCATCTGACGATCTTTTCCGTTTTCAGTTCAATATCGTCAGTACTATCAGGGACAATCGGGATACATTATGGGCATGTTTTAATCCATTTCAAGGTTATTCTTGAAAGCTTGCTTCCGCCTGTGACTTCTTAGTGAATGCAAATATATATGCAATGTGGTCAAGAAAGTTTCTTCTTTGCAGACTCACAAGGAGAGACTGAAGCACTGGCTTCTGATGGGGTTTTCGCTCCTTGTACTCGCCATCATCCTACACTTCACAAATGGTACTTATCCATCCATATTTACTGTGAGACATGGGCTGCCATTCACAATCCTTGGACAGAGATTTACATGTATTTCGTTCTCTGCTCCTGCAGCCATCCCAATCAACAAGCAGCTCTACAGCTTCAGCTATGTCTGCTTTACCGGCGGTGCAGCAGGAATTGTTCTTTCAGCTTTCTATATACTGGTACGGTTTATGTATACATTTTAGACATGATACTTCTTCGATTTCATGTTACAGGAAAATAACAAATAAAAAAACTTTACATCTATGCTTTGATGGACAGATTGATGTCTGGGGACTGAGGATGCCATTCCTTTTCCTGGAGTGGATAGGCATGAACGCCATGCTTGTGTTTGTCCTAGGAGCACAGGGAATACTGGCTGCATTTGTGAACGGATGGTACTACAAGTCGGAAGATAACAATCTTGTAAGTAATGGGTGGAGGTTATTAATTTGGCGTAATAAGAACATGGTTTGTAGCCGTTTTTGTTCCAGGCCCCCGCTAGCTGGTGTCAGTCGCCTAATGAACTTCATTTGCTGATTTCTTTCTTTCTTTCTATTTCTGCAGGTCAATTGGATTGTGAAGCATGTGTTCGTCAATGTCTGGCACTCACAGAATCTGGGAACTCTGCTGTATGTCATATTCTGTGAGATAGTGTTCTGGGGTGTTGCGGCAGGCGTCTTGCACAAATTAGGGATTTATTGGAAACTATGATTAGTTTTGAATGACACATTATTTGTACAATGAAAACGAAGCAATATGTGTAACAAATGTGCTTGTTTATCTCCGTGTAACATTACTTTGTAAGATTGATGTGATATTAACACAAGCATTCAAGCCTCTTCGAGGACGTTGATATTAATATGTTGTGTATATTCTCAAGTAGTCGGATCACAACAGATTTTCATAAAAGTGAAGTGTACTACTTTGGCGAGGCCCAGGAAGTAGAAGACCAATATATTGAGTTTTTTGGATGTAAATCTGGAAATTTTCCTACGACATATTTAGGGATTCCTATTCATTTTAGAAAGCTGAGGAATGTGGACTGGAAAAAGATGGAAGAACATTTTGAGAAGAGGTTGAGCAGCTGGAAAGGGAAACATCTATCAATAGACGGCCATCTAACACTGATTAACTCAGTGTTGAGCAGTAGTCTTCCATTATACATGATGTCCTTTTTTTGCAATTCCAAGAGGGGTGTTGAAGAAATTGGACTACTTCCTCTCTAGGTTTTTTTGGCAAAACGATAACCAAAAGAGGAAGTATCGTCTGGTCAAATGCAGCATACTTTGTCAACCAAAAGATCGGGGCGGGGTGTGTTAGAATTCATGACCTAGTTATTAGAAACACGACACTTCTTGGCAAATGCCTTTTCAAGTTACTTACAACATATGGGACTTGGCAATGTTTAATTCGGAATAAATATTTACTCTAAGACATTATCTCAGGCTTATTGGGAAAACGAAGACTCACATTTTTGGGCTAGTCTTATGAAGGTGAAACAGGATTTTCTTTGTTTTGGATCCTTCATGGATCCAAGTCAGATTTTGGGAGGATAAGTGGCTCGGAAACTCCCCTCTAAATGAACAATATCCTTGCTTATATGACATCGCTCGGCACAAGCATGATACGGTAGCTGAGGTCTTCAGTACATCACCTCTAAACATTTCATGAAGACGTGATATTTGATTGGATCTAAATTAGCAGCCTAGAATGAACTACATCCTCGCATTGCTAATATCTTGCTTACACAAGAGCCTGACGTGTTTCACTGGAACTTGGACCCAAAGGGACATTCCTCGGTGAAATCACATTATTCAGCTATGACTCGTGTAGATGTTTCCAACATAAACAAAATTATTTGGAAGTTAAGGATTCCATTAAAAATAAAAAGTTTTCTTTGGTACCTTCGCAGAGGAGTGATTCTAACAAAGGATAACTTAGCCAAACGCAATTGGCATGGCAGTGAAAAATGTTGCTTTTGTCACAAAACTGAGACAATTAAACATCTTTTCTTTGAATATTGTTTTGCCTGCGTGATTTGGGGCTGCATAAATATTGCTCTTGGTCTTCCTCAACCTTGTAGTATTCCTCATATGTTTGGGAGTAGGCTTCAGGCGTTTGGGAGGACTTTAAAACCTTTAGTTCTGCTGGGAGTGACAACTACTTGTTGGTCGCTTTGGTTATGTAGAAATAATTTGGAGTTTGAAAAAAAAATATTGTAATTCTCCTATGCAGGTGGTATCTTCGTTTAGCCATTGGCTTCGTACATGGTCTATCCTCTAGAATAGGGGTGAAAACGGTACGGATATTTTTCGATCGTATTCGAGACCGAATCCGTTTAGAGGAGTTCAAATCTGTCCGTATCCGAGTCCGGATATTCAACATCCGATACCGTATCCGTATCCGAATAATCAAATCGCATATTTATGATGTCGATATCCAATCGTATCATATCCGTCATGGTTGACAATATCCGTATTTGAATCCGAATCCGGACAGAAATATGAAAACAAATGTAATATCAGTGATATCCGTTCGTATCCGATCCGTTTTCATCCATACTCTAGAAGCATACTTCACATGCTTTGGTGGTGGCGGCATCGCAACAATTGGCACAAATGATCACGGTGTTTTTCTCTCGGACACATGGGTGGGGATCTAGTCTTAGGATTGATAGTCATTAGAATGCCCGGCATTTTGTTTGTTTGGTTTAGGCTGTGCTTTTTGCAGAGGACAAAAGTAAGTTCGTAATTATTGTATCAACTCGATGTAATGATTGTGAATTAATAAAATTCTTTCTTAAAAAAAGGTATGTAGGAATCAGGAATGCACTGTATGCCATAAGTTGAAAATCTATTTTTAATATTAAAGTAAGGTAATTTCTCCCGCCATCCCTCCGTCCGTTGTTCTCACTCCCACCCTTACTTCCTCTCTTTCACTCCTATCAATGCCCTCTTCTTTTGAATCTCGGTTGTAATGACCGAATGACTAAGAGAAGGGTTTGAATCGAGCTCTAAAAATTTAAAGTAGCAGTCTTACTCTATGGAAATTCTTAATGCCCGTTGCACCTTGACACCTAAGTTTTCTATAAAAACATACTAAATAATCCTTACGGCCAACATTCTAAGATAACTAAAGGAGCAAGCTAACCAAATCTATTATGAGCTTCACACATTTTTGCTACAAAATACAAGATATACAACTAAAGAGAAACTCATGATCACACTAAGATAGATATCCTTAAGTGAAAGAAGTAATCCTACGCTAAGCACACATACGAAACAATCCTAGTTGTCACACAAAGAAACTTGAGCAAGAATGATAAAGAGACTATCGGATTTTTCCCATGCTATTTGGTTGCTGCCAAAACTCCCTAATCCACGTTGGAGCACCAAAGAGTCACAAAGATTCAATTAAGCTTCCATCCACTAGCGAATAACCGTTTGGTAGTTTGCCCTGGTGGGTTTTAATACCGGGACACCTAGCTGATGCAATCACCAAGAGTAACAAGTCTTCGAGCTTCAACTTAGAAGCCCAAGCAAGAACACGGTAGCACTCAAGGCTAACACTCAACTCTTCACTTATTGACTTAGATGGCTCTCCAAATGTTTCACTATTCTCTCTATAAGTGCTGACAACAATGGGGTGCAAGAGAAGCTCCAAATGAGCCAGGGCAAGCACTTATGTAGAGGGTGAATAGACTGCTGGCCATTGAAAAAGTTGACAGACGCAGACATCACCGGATGATCCGCGTGCCTCCTACCTGCATTGGATCATACAATATATGGAGCTAACATGGTCGATTCCTATAATGGCTGGTTGAGAATATAATGTAATATTCCCTTCCATATGAGATATGATGGCTTGTTACATAGTCACACTGGATCATACGGTGCACCGAGCCTGGGGTGGCATGAGTAGATTGGCGACAGGGTGGGCTCCATGACAGCGTAGGTAGGCTCCACGACACGCAACGTGGGTTCCATCATGGCAATGAGGTAGCAGCAGCATCAGTGGGCTCGGCAGTGCACTACTATCAAAACGATTTCGGGAAACCTCTTTTATTTTCAGAGGCGAGCAAACAAAATTCCGGTCTCCCAAAATCAACAGCGAATTTCAAAGATGTTCTTCAGAATTATGGAGACAACCAACTCAACCCTGTCTCTTAAAATCTATTAACAAAAGTCTCTTAAGAGGCCCATTTTGGCCTAGAAAGCCCACTTCCGCGCTAACCATAAATTCTTCCCCTCAGCCCCTCTGTCTATCGGACTCAGATTCATTGTCGTGGCATAACTTTAGTGCTTGTATCCACCGTCTAGAGTAAATCGAATGTCATCTATCGTTTCCTACCAGAGACTGTACGTAGGTTTTCTCCGTGAAGACAGGCGGGAGGGGCCTCTCAATCACGCACGCACCACGCCGGTCAGCCGCCTGCGCCCGGAGTGGCCTCTCAATCGCGCACGTGCGATGTGCCCATAGCACAGCACAGACGCTGTCCAACAGGCAACAGCCCACCCCCGAGAGTTGCCTCACCAACTTGCAATAGATTCAAAACAGAATCCCTAATAGCTTCCTTTCAGATTGTGATGGACCTAAGGTTATGGTCCTGGGATCTTATTTGTTAAGATTTTGATTGGTTTCAGGCTGGAAGAGTAGCTTGCTTTCTTTGCTATTACACTTTTCTTGAACGGTGATCAAGCTAGGGTTGTGTTATGAAATTGAGTACCAATGAGTAGCAACAACTGATGTAGTCTAGTTACTCTGCATCTGCTTATTTATCTTGACATGCAAATTGAGTACCAAAAGATTTGCTTGATCTATGTGTTGTTTATTGTTTACAGTTAATGCTTTGCTTGATCAACAATCCAAATATGCAATTATGTGCTATTAATTATTTGTGGTATTTTATATTCTTTGGGACATAATTTGACAAGGAATATTTGGTTTATGTGAAAAGCAATGGCATTACTTGATAAGGGAACACCTCAAGTTGGTTTGAGGTTTGGAAATTCAAATGTTGACCCAAATGCCAACCAAAGAGATGATTTGCTTAATGCTGCAAAGCTGATGAAGAAAAAGTAAGTTCAGTCAAAAAATTCAAAGAGAAAGAGGACTTGGATCGATAAGTTACGACAAAAGGGGAGATGAAAGCAAATAAAATTTGCCATACCAAAAAAAACGGAGCAAGGTATATTGCAAACTTGCAACCTATACATTTACACCCATTGTTATCATTCAAATATAAACTAATTCGTTGAATTTTCATGTCAGCAACAAAACAAAAATGATGTTCTATAGCCCCAAGTCGAATTGGGGAATAATGGCAGCAACAAAGAAGCAATTCTGGAATCTCAAGATTACAATGTTATTTGCAATTTTACTCGGCTCATGATAGCTCCAAATTGCGGCAATGATAACCTTCAGTTTTAATATGTATAGGTTGGTTAGATAGCATTTTGGACATGACTAACTATAGTCTTTTGCGACACAACTTGGCCTAATTGTATATGAGAAAGGGTCTACAATATGTCAGTAATAGCACATGTTGCTGGTTCAGAAGTAGCACATGTCAAAATGGCTTTGTTTGTGTGGAAATATGATGTATTCTTGTCATCAGTGAAAATTTATTGCCAAACCTGTCCTCAGTTATTTTATTGAATGAGTATCTATTGTGTGCCATCTCTATCTGATATGAGTGATGCTCTAAAGTC